CTATTCGGTTGAAGATCGAACTACGTGGATCCACGAGCAAGCTGTACCCTCGGTGAGCTTGGCTAGTTCGAAGATCGATAACCCAGTTCCTGGGCTTAGGTCGCCACATCGTTGCTAATGATCTGATTTCTATGCTGTGAGAGGCCAAGTCTAACCAATGAACGCAGTCGTTGATGAGAGGCAAAGGTAGATCAGGTGCATCGCCAGGAATCCTCGATAGGAACACAGTTGGCGGTATCAGCTCCACCATTCTGTTGTTGCCTAATCTTGCCCGCAGAAAGGGCACTCCATCACGAAAGCCAAAGTGAATCTGGTGCCCTTCAAAAGGGCTGGCAAGTTGATAGGACATCCCTGGTATACTCGATGGGTATGTCAGGAAAACACGATCGCCAAATATTCGATGGAAGAACTCTTGTTTGGTGTATTCGTCAGGTAAACGACCAAGAGGTTGACCGTCAACGAGTAAAGTCCCATCGAGTATGTCGAAGAACACACTCTGTTCAAGGAGGTCATTAACACTCATTGACTGGGCGGTTACCCATCCATCATGGGGTTCTGGGAGGAAATCCCACGCAGAAAACACTCGTGTGGATTGTTCTTCGGCATCTGCCCAAACGCTATTGACGGCCTGATTGACAGCAGTATTTAGCGATTGGATTGCGCGCCGGAGTTGGGACTCGAGACGATGCACAAGTTTCAGGTCGCTGATGTATAATTTTCTGAAAAATGCTGGCATTCTACCGACGAAGCCAGCGTCCTTTGACGGTAAATTGTCCTTGAGCATAAATGAGCATTCGAGGTATATAGTGAGCATTTCAGCCTGGAGGGGTTCGTCGGGCTTCGCGGCTTCAAGGATGTATGTTTTCCGGCAGAGCAAAGCTGCAAGTAAGGCGTCTTGGGATCTCTTTTGTGCAATTTCTGTGCTAGTCGCGTTGCAGATCTCGCGACGCAAAGATCTGGCCCAATGATGAGTTGTTCGGCGCACGTACAGCATCAGAGCTTCGGCTTCCTTCCTAGCCTCAAGAGGTGTAGCAAGAGACCAAATGCGCTGCAATAGGACGAGGAGACATTCGACCGTTTTGCCTTCGCGCCAATTTGCTGCAACATTCTCCAGCCGTCGCTTGATCTGAGCAGTAAGCGCGATACAGAAAGACAGGTCTTCAAAAACCCAGTGACCGGCGCGAAGAAGGCTTTGCTCGTCACGAGGGCCCACTACGAGAGCTAGTTCGGTGACCAGAATACCAACTTCTAATGTGCCGAAATTGAGGTTTGAAGACGCGAGCTCACGCATGAGCCTAATCCATTGAGTCCGATGACCAAGTCGAAGGTCCTGAAACGTGGTGAATTCGATCATAGTGAGAGAATTTGGGCAACGAGTCTGGCTTGCTATAATCTCGTTGGCAGACAGAGGCTTCCCCTCAAACGTTGGATGAAGATACCTTCTAAGGGATCCGTAGGCTGATTTTGGAGGCAAAGGTGGTGCGCAAAGATCTGCGAAGCTTGGTTTCTCTACATTTCTCGATGTCCAGAGACTTCTTGAGTGATCAAATAAACCATACTTCAATGGATGAGGAAGGCATACTTTATCCAGCGTGATTGGAAAGGGGACCTGCGTATAGTGGGTGCTTAAGAAGGATTTGAAGTATGAGGCAAGTGTCATAGAGCTTCCAGTAGGCCTCATGAAGCCCCTGAGACCTTGGTAATCGTGGAGCGAAACCGGAGGCTTTCGATCTGGTGTGGTACTTCGCCGGCCTAATTGGATCAACTGCCAGGTAGCGTCCCGCCACGCCGCAAAAGCTTTGGGAAGAAGGAGTTCGAATACCACAGCTTTGGCCACGGTGTCATCGCTTGGCAAGATGGCTTCATGTACTGAAATCCTCATCGTTTCACCTCTGCTCTCAAGCTGGTGCTTTAAGCAGTGGCTATTGTCGTGCCGACGCTTCAGCGGATCGAATCTGTCTTCAATGAACAGACACGTCGTCTCTGCAGCTTGCTTCATGACAGCCTCGTATTCTGAGCTTGTCTTGGCCCATTCCTCCTCTTTTTGTGCTCTAGCTCTCACATCAGCAGCGCGGATGGTTGTAGCGAGCTGTTGCATCTCCTGAGATTGGTCAAAGTAGCGCACAGCAAAGGACTCCGGTGATATATCGCGAAAAAGTGAGGGATGAGAGGGCTTAGCAACGCTACGGCGACCCTCGAGATAGTCTTCGATATCTTGAATTCTTCGCAAGTCGGAAAGGAGAGCGACTTGCAAGGGAAAAAGTATATCCCGAGGAAACTCTGGTTCGTAGTCAGCCAGTTGAGGATATATTGTGAGAGCGATCGAGTCTATTGCCTGCCACATCTCCAAGAGCGTGATTAGCATGAAAGACAACTGCTCGGGGTCTGACTTGTATGCTGAGGATGCGAGCTGCTGATATTTTTGCATCATGTGTTGAAACTCCACACAGTAGCGGTCCAGCCCTTTGTTTGTTCCACTTCCAAAGGATTTCTTGACATCAGACTTGAGCGTTGATTCGGCCCCGGCGAGAAAGTGGTATTCAAATTCAGTCAAGTCATCTCGAAGTTCCATACTGGCCCATGCAGAATACTGGGATGACTTCCGGTGTCTCTCCTCGAGATGTATGTTTGTTGACGGTCTGCCTAACAAGGCTTCTTCAAGAATTCTTTGCAAGATAGCTCGACTGTGGTAAAGCGATAGTATTGTACTAAGCGTGTCAGCGCGCCAGGGCAGCGGTAATACTCGCTTTGTGGCTCGGGATCTGACTACGCTCCAATCCCGACTGAGTCTGTCGTTGAGAGCTCGCAAGGTATCGGTAAATCCTTTTTCGTGTTTTGAGAACAGTGAGTCCATTTTCTTGGCTACTTGTGGTGTCGCCATATCCTTTTGTTGCTGCAATTTGGCCACCCGACGAGCAAGTTTGGTTCTCGCAAAGGCAAGTTTGTCCGGCGGGAACGAGCCTTGGGCGCAGACCTCCTCAGAAAGCGAGGAGAGAACGAAGCTCATAAAGAACTTGTAATGCAGAGTACCGTGGCTGCCTCCCAGTAGGAAGCACAATGAGCGCTGGACACCAACTCGCAGTACAAGCCAAGTCGGGCTCCGTCGCCATGGATTCTCTGCTCCATCGCCCCAGTAAACCTCATCATGTACTCTCTTTCTGGTCAGCATGGTTGTGTACTTCCGGCCATTCGCCTCTAGTAGAGCCATCAACAATTGCCCTACTATCGCTGGAGTCGCAGTGTCACGGCTCTCAAATGCATAGGATCTGGCCTTGAGCGTCGTTGCTGCGAATTGCTTGACGGGCTCAACACTAGCTTTTTCGAGAAATTCTGCGAGACATGCTTGGAAAGAGGCTTCTTCGAAGATAGCGGACGGAACAGCAACGGCACGGCTTGGGAAGTCCCACTGTAGGGATTTCTCGGCTGCGAGAACCTCCGCGGCTGGGGGGGAAGCCTCAAAAGTCTCGACGACGTAGTCACCAGCGACTTTCCGAATGATCAGCCCAGAGTTCTGCATGCTGACGTGAAGGATTATGATAGCTCCGTCTTTGACATCGCGGAAGGCGCTCGTCAGGGCATTTTTCGAAAGAGATTTGTTGTTTCTGTGCAAGATTGCGAACGTACGGAGAGTACGAAGAATTGTAGACCACTGCGTGTAGTGTTCAGAGTGGTTCAGGTCACGGAAAAGGTGACAATATTCTGTCAAGTGTTCGATCAAAGCTCTATCACCAGCGCCATTTTGGTGGTCATCGCGATGAGGCAGCTGCGGGGGTAGGAAGATATGGTTAAAAAGGTATTCAAGCGTGCGGTCCGCCATCTTGATGAAGAGGATCGAATCTTGACAACTGTGATATAGGTGTGGTAATGTCAACTTGGTTGTGAGAAGGGAGGTGCTGGATGAGATGTGAGTGAACTCAAGTGTTGACGAAAAGCGCCAAGCCAAGCGGACGCTAGCCTTGCTAGCGCCCTGTCCCTCTCCGTTGTCAACAAAAGGTTCAGTCCCAGCGTCCTGGCTAACTAAACATGAAATATAAAAGTCTCTATGCAACACTAACGGCAATTTCAGGTCACAGGTATAGAAAGCCCTTTTTTATCCATTGGGAAATGTCGAAATCGGCTGCAATTGGGTGCGTTAGTTTCATCAACTTACAAACAAAGTACGCTAATAATTCTTCCACAGCCGTGCTTGTTCCCAAAGTCAGCAATGCTAGCCAGGCTGCCGTGTTACCTGCATATGCAGTCAACCAGATCGGGAGCCTCTTTGCCAAGACCTCGCCTAATACTTTGGGCAACGTACCATCACATTGTAGGTAGTTGGCACTTGGAGAGATAATTGACCGTCGTTGCAACAGGGGTCATGAGCCTTATCCCAGTAAAATCCTGTCATGTTTCAAGGCCCAAGTACCAGTGCTGGGCGGCGAAATGGAGGGTCATGACCCAGAACGAGTACATGCTCGGCTCACAGTAATCGGGAACTGCTATTGCGAGCATCAGCCGGAATCAATGGTAGATTCGCGAGGGAAGCAAGCTGCAGTCACGTATCAACTCAGCTGATAACGGCCAACCCTTCTAATCACCATTACTGTTCGGCCCTGCAACGCTAAAGCTCACAGTACAACCGTCTCCATCCCTTCCTTGTTCCGATCTATACCGGTCCTTTAACTCCTGCCATCCCTCCCGACCGCTATTTGCAGTGAAAGTAACAATGTTAAACGTAGAATGCTATGTCAAGGCAACATTTCCCTTACCACTCACTATTCCATGATTAGCTTGGCGTATTCGTAGCGATTGCTATCCCCATCACCATTTTTTGGAGGCTCATCGCCTCACATCAGTGGCAAAAGTAGTCACTGCGAAGCCCTCAATATCTCGAAACAATTCGCAATACGAGGATGCAAATATCAACGAGAGCAAATATTGTATTTTACCACACCTGTATACTTTCCCAAGGCAACGTATTGTACAGTTTCCAGCGGCATGAACTAATTTCAAGCATCATGCTACAGAAATTTATAGGTCCCATTTTGCTTCGGAGTGCTTGTGAGATTCTTGGGGAGGTATTGGATTCCAGTCATTGGGCAGCTGGAGGAATTCGTGTCTGCAAGCGTCAGTCATGCATCAGAGACGAGCACGCCCCAGAAAACCCTTACCTGGCTGTGCCGGAATATAGGTGCCATCTTGCGCGCTTCCGTACACGTTGTAGTAGTAGTATACCTCATCAAGCTCGGTCGAATTGGCACCAGTGCACTCGATAGTAGCGTTGACGTGGCGATCCTGCACTAACGCTTTCCGGATTTCGGAATAGGTGTACGTCTTCGTAGTGCTCGGTACGATCCCTGCATCCTTGAGGAACGTGTATGTGTCCAGCACCGAGAACAGCTGGAGTGTCTTTTGGAAGAAATCGACCACCTCTTGTGTAGGTACGTAGTCGGTGTAGCAGGACGTATCGAAGGTGCTGATGCACGTTCCATGCTTGCCCCATTCATGTTCCCAAAAGGACTCGTCGTTGCCCCCGTCATCCTTCCAGTATACTGACATGTAGTCCAGCAGATCGTAGCGATTGAAGTGTTCGAGGATCTGCGTGATGTTCTTGTATTGTCGGGATTCATCGCAGTATTGTTGGTAGGAACCATTACATTCGTCGGGCCTAGGACCCGCCATCTATTAGTATGGACGTGGAGGCCGGGATGTGAGGTGACCACTTGCCATAAGCCGTGGACGGTCCAGTGGTCTGCCGGACCTGTAGCAGGATCGGTGTCCCAGAACTGCGTCTGCAGCAGAAGACCACCGGGGTAGTTGAAGCAGCAGGTGTTGGCGACAGCGCTTTTGTTGTGGCAACTCAAGGGGTACTCGAAGGTGCTGCATTGCTCCGAGAAGGCGAGAGCTGGGCTCGACAGGAGAAGCGCCCCGAGGGCCGAAGAGAGGATTGAGGTATAGGAAGGCATTGTTGCGGGTAATATCGGATAAGATGAAGATGTAATTGAAGGATATCGAAGGATGAGGATATGCAAGGCTCTTCATATAGACATCTGGATCGCTCTATAAGGTATGGCGGGAGGTACATGTGCTCCGAGGACAGGATCTGGGCCATGCTCGCCTAGGCAGCTTTACAGGATGGAGCTTCCCCATGCAAAGTCATGATAGCACTCATCATGTCTAAGTGGGGCTGAGATACTGGTGATCAGGTCCGAGTCGTTCTCTTCTTATTCTCCTGTTATCCAATCGATTCGAACGTGCCTGACAGAGGCATACCTCCGTACCTGAGACGTCATCAGGCGTCGTCCTATCAGCGTATCGAGGACGCGAGGCTGTGAGCACCTGTGGCAATCGAGTGAATACACCTGCCTGTTGAGGAAGAAAAGAAGCGAAACGCCACTGGTGCCATCTGGGATGTGGGACTGGGAAGCCGCCGAGCCCGCCCATGGAGCGTGATTGAAAATGCGCGTCATCTCGGAATAAATCAGGATGACCTTAGCGATGAACAAAAGCGAACCCTGCCACGCGGCAAAAAGCCCACAGCCAAACATTTACTCTTTGAAAAACCTATCAATATTACTTCACAAAAAGTTTTGCGGTGAGACTATTGTTTCGATGTAATCTTGATATATATACGAAAGTCTTTTTATGACCACTCGTTGACAAGTTGTGGAGATTTGCAGATTTTGGGGGTCAGGCTTTTTGGAACCCGCGTGCCTGCTAAAAGCTCCACTGCGCAAAGATAGAAAATGAAAAGATAGAGAACGAACGCAATCAACTACGCGTTGCACGAGTTGGCAAGTGTTCTGTTTCCCTGCTCACTGTTGCTTCCCGCCGTGGATAGTTCTTGCCTTTTCATAGGCCACCCTGTAAAGTGGATGTGACTGAGCGGACATGTGATGTTGATGAAGAGCAACAGCACGGGACAAAGGATACCGGATCATTTGTTCCGTCGTGGCAGATGGGTAGTGAAAAGGTTACTGCTACGTAAGATGCATGAGAGTCTGGTAGGTGGTAAGTCTCGAATACTTCGGACGCCCACGGATCTGCGCGAAAAAGTACTGAGCTTCACGTCTCGGGAGCTCAGTAGACTGTTGGTTAAAGCAACAAAGTGTATTAGAATTATTTACAGACAGCTTTTTTTAAGAAAGGCGTGTGATGAGGCAAGCCATGTACCCAAGATCAAACACATCAGTTCACCTCGATGAGACCTGGTCCGTACAGGGTGGCCGCAGCAACAGCGTCATTGCTCGCAAAAGTCATGCCCGCCCCCTTGACCAAAGCGGCAATGGTCAACCCATTCGCAAAACCTGAAGCGAACGGGAAGCTAGCGGAGAAATGGGAGGTTCCGGCAACATAGCTCATGTTCGAGATTGGAACCGTCACTGGCAGATTCGCGCCGGAGAGGTAGGCTATCGAGTTGTTGTACGAGCTGACGGCTCCGGGCACGGCGAACTCCAGGGTCATGTTCTTCGGCTCGGGCGTGGTGACGACGGTCAGTGGGCCGAATGTGGTCAGGTTGACATTGGAGAGCGGTTGAGGACACGAGCCCGGAACGATGAACATCTGAATCGCAGTGAAGGCGAAGCTGGGCGATCCACCCGTCAAGAATGGCGCGGCTGACGGCACCTTCTTCTGGGCGAAACGATAGAAGCCCACCTGCTCGCCTTCCTGGGCGAGAACGGAGCCGAAGAGTGGGATCAGTGGGCTCTCGTCACCGGCGTCCGCGGCGAAGATAGCTTGCGCCTCGGGTAGCGTTCCGAGGACGATGTCGGTGAAGGTTTGGGCGAGGAGGACGGCCTGGGCGAAAGTGGTAACGGGGAATTGGTATTGACAGGGCTTGATGGCGGTCTGGTTGGCGTTCATCAAAATGCCATTTACGCCGGCGGCATGCAATTGCTCTTGCTACAGTTGCTGGTTCAGAAAATGCAAAAGGCGCACTCAATGCTTTTTAAGGCTAGGTGTCTGTTACTCACATTTACCACAGCGGTGAGGGTGTCCATGACATATTTCTTGTCTAACGGTGCAATGGATGCGGCATCGTATCCAGGGACACTGTTGGTGACATTGGCGAGCAGCTCGGTGAAATAGGCAACTTCGAATATCTCATTCAGTGCGAGGAGTTGCAAAGTGGTGATTCCGGCGCCTTTTAAGATGGTTGGAAGCGGACCGTCGGGAAGTGTGCCCCCAGCTTTCTTCTCAATCATAGCGAGCTGGGCAGGGTCAGGACTGGGAAAACCATCTGGTAGTGGGAATTTGAATGGAGTGGCGGCGACACCGGCGACTGCGATGGAGAGAACTAAGGGTATTGTTGAGGTGAAATGCATGATGACGATGGATATCAGCAAGCAGAGAGGGTAGATACTTGAGATAGATGTATCGGAGACGGTGAGAAATGGGATGAGAAGTGAGAGTAAAGTAAAGTACGGAAGGTTGGAATTGTTAAATGGGAAAGAGTAGGAAAGAGTAGGAAATGGGAAGAGATAGTGGAAGGCTGGAAATATCTCAGGCAATGACGATAGATGATGATGTCACAGCTGATGCAGGAAAAGGATGATGGATGATGGATGATTGCTATGGGCCATGATCAGCTTACGTGACTTTGGATTGATTATTCAACCATGGGTTTGGACGCATCAAAAAAATGATAATTCACGCAAACCCTCCATCCATCAAATAAACATTGACCCGCCCCGCCCTTTTCTTCGCTTTACACTTTGACATTAAACCAAAAGGATGCAGACTAAAACCTGACAGGGCAACGGTTAACTGAAAGTGAATGTCCGCGGAGGTACGGAGCGAGTAAATCCCGTTCCTTTCATCACGTGTCATTCATTTCAGGCTAGACATCTGCGCATCCGATTAATTGGCGTGAGACGATATGTCGATCATGTCTGATCTCGGACTGATGTTGATCGGAACAAGGGAAGCCCCGCTGACCTACTGCCGGACTCTACCTTATAGCCGTCTTAAGGGACGCTTTGAGTCAATCCTCCAAAGCTAATGCACGTTACTGCTCGACCGGTTTATATGAGATTTCAAATGAGCCTTCATCGGACGAGCCAAGGAAAACAAAACCGTCGGTATCAAAGTAATGGGCAGTTGACGAGAGTGGTGCGCTTAAAGGTCAAGGGGGGTGTACGAGTACGCGAAGCTGTTCCCTGTCGGATCACTTCGGAAATCAAAAATTGCCCTCTCTCGAGTGGTCGAGCTGTCATCAGCATTGCTGCCTGAAGTCTTGCGAACAATGTACACGCAGCAGCCATCAGCAACAACATCCTCTATCATCTTAGGCAACTCCGCTCGATGAATTGCCTGATCAGCGAGCAGAGGCTCATATCAATTCGAAAGTGTCTGTCGCATCAGTCTCCTGCTTGTGTGCAACAAAGTAAAACATAATAGAAACCAGGTACGCCCACGGAAACCGCAAGCAAGACTTTTTGTCCGAGTCTACTCTATCCGTGCTCGACTAATTATAGATTCTCTAACCAAACCTATGAGCGCAACCTGGACCGTTGAAAAATTATCCGACTCCGATATTCCGCCTCAGTGCATCGTGACTTATTATTACCCCCGAGCCCTCTGCTTATTGCGACGGGCGCTTCTTGTAGTAGCGTCACGGATGCTCGGTACGCAATACCCTTCTGCCAATCAGAATCGAAGTGTGTTAGGACGTACCTAGCCGCCATAAGCACCCTCTCGGCGTACTTCGGCATCACATCCGGAGAGAATGCTGACACGGTGGGTATCTGACTGTGACCTGCTCCTCGGTCTGTTTACCAGAGAGCAAAGACTTTGCTTACGCGTAGACGCGGCTTCGTGGCGAAAGACGGTTTATGTGATACTTCCCAACAGCCTACCATCTTTCGTCGCAAGCGCAATACGCTCCAGTCGATCTTTTTCCCGAAAGGATACAAGTACCGCTAGATTTGGTCCTGTTATAACTAGATGGCACAACTCGATTCTCGATGTCCCTGCTTCTCAAAAGTACTTGGCCGTCGATTGGCCGTCGATTTGCCAATAAGTGTGGCGCAGTGCTTGGTTCTGCAGGTACTATAGGTGTTGCCTTGATTATTGAGATTTGACATCTGGAGAAGGACGGTAATCACTCGACTGTTTCGGGTTGTAAGATACGAGGTGCGCTTTCCTATACGATAGTTGAATCATTCTGACTCTGTGGTTGTTGTCGTGATATCTCGTGCGAATGATCCTGACACATCGGCAGAATGCAATATTCGTCCCCTCAGCCAATCATCTAGCCCCCACTCCCACCATCCAGGTGACCAAAGAAAGACTCTATGATCTAAGCCTTCGACGTGGTAACAAAATGCTTTCACGATCGTTCACGACAGATTCGTTTATATAAAGAACTGGCCCCTGCAGAGTCATAGGCCAACCCACCAATCCATGCGTGCGGAGGCTACGCGGCAGGCAGATATGTATCATCACTCAAGCCCACCAAGTCTCAACAATGACCTCCACGGCCCTCGCGCATTACAACGAATTCGCATCCTATAAGTAAACCCGCCCACTTGTATCAATCCAGTATGAATATTCCCAGCCGTCGTAGCGCATCCAGACCTAAACCCTACTCTATAGCACTCGAGAGTCTAGGTCGACAGTCACCCTTGAGTCTTGATCCCAGGACTTCCGTGGTCTTTGCGAGATATCAAGGGTAAGTAGACTGGAATGATTTCGGCCTCTGTGGCATTGTACTCGGCGACGAGGTTTGAGTGTAATTATATCGGCGCGTCTGGTGCGTTGACCGTAGGGCCCTGTGCATGTGAAGGGATTCGGCTCGGATCATGGTTCGGGGTAGCAGATGCTAGGATCTGTGCATCTCGTCGGCGCCTATCCCATCGATAGGCAGGGGCGCAAAATTCAGGGGGTCAGCCCTGCGTGCCAAGACATTTTGCACGCCCCGGGCGCCAATCGATGGGATAATATCAGTCTGAGTACTTGGAGGGTAGATGGTCATGATTCTCTCAGACATCGAGTCAACAGCCAGAGGGCACAGGTTGCACATTGTTGCAGCGCAACGACTTTGACTGCCCATAAACACGCTGCCTCCAAAAAAAATTGGGATGAAGAACCACGGGCGATGCATACACGGCTCCTACCCCATCATGCCTCCCCACACCAGCCCGGCGCTGTGTATGTATGCTACGATGTTCCGCAACACCAGCATCCCCAATCCTCCGTCAATCCGATCCGGACCCCTCTTCCTCATCGAACCCATACCCGGGGAGATATCATTGGTACCTCGGCTCCCTCTCGCAGGCTTTCGAAGCGCTCGCGGCGTAGTATTGTAGTTTGAAGGACGGCGCGAGTTACGATTCGCGGATATAGTGCACGCTGCTCTTCACTGTGTATACGGCCTGTTTAGCCCCTTGGCGTGAAGTTGGTTCTATGGCGATCTCGTTTGCGGTGTAGTCTGGCTGGGGATGGTTAAGTGGCGCTTTGATGGCTACATCAGACTTGATGGGCTTCAGGATGAGGCGCAGTGCTTACAAGGTGGAGGCTTGATCGCAAGGGCGGGTTGTCTCGTGAGCTGGAGACAAGAGAGCCATGGTCGGGTTGTTTTCGCTGTGCTGTCATGTCGTGGTGGGGTGGGTGCGGGAGCTCTACAGCTGCTAGATTCGGTGATGGGGGAGTTTTTTTTTTGAAGTAGATGGTTGCGTACTCATCACCCTGCTATAAGGACTGGAGGATGTACCTCCCGACGATACTACGGTAGCCTTGTCGTTCCATTGAGTTTGGGTATCTAGAATTCAGTGTGGTATCTCTCTGCTCGAACTCAGTTCATGGGGGACGCACATGCAAGACTTTTGACACTGGCTATTTTGTGGAATGGAGATAGTAGGAGCCGCATGAGTAGTTGGTGAGAAGCTTGTTGTTCTTGGTGAAATACCACCCAACAGCTCGGCAACGCGAAAATTGTATGTTTCACGGCGGACAAATGAGACGAGATGAATAGATGCAATGGCGGTTTTGAATGATATACGTCTGCATAGTGAGATAGAAGGTCAAAATCAAATCATGAAAGCACCTCCAAAAGAAACCAAATGGTCACTGCCTCTTCTGTAGCCAGAGCGTTCCAACAGCTTCGTACCGATTACAAAAGCAATCAATCCAATGAAACATGAAACCCACAATCATTCGTCGTCAAAGTCCCAGCTGCAAGGCATTGTTGACGTTTCAGCTGACACGGCCTTTGCCTTGTTGGGATCCGCCACCCAAATTTCAGTCACATGAATCCTGCAGCCATTAACGTGGTCACCGTATTCAAAAACGAGACGCGCTTCTCCCCAAGAGTGACAGATTTTTCCTCCCGGATGCAATTCTTCTTCTCGCCGGCCATACGCGACAATGTCAAGCCCAGCTTCGAGAAGAACCTCCATCCAGGCATCCAGATAGCGTTGCACTATTTCCAGTATCGAGAGGCTCTCCCCAGGATACCATGTTCTCCACAGCGATCTCGATGTGCGTGGTCGATACTTGATATCCGAAGTATCCTCGAGTCGATCGTACTCTATGACGTCTTTCCTAGACATCAGCGAGGGCGATGGAATCCATTGTCGGTCTACTCCATACTTGTTGTACTCGGTTCTGTCGGAGTTTAAAACAATCAGGCGATAGCCACCCAGAAGGACTTCAAGCGTCGTTTCAACCGTTTCGACCGTTTCGTTGATGTATTGAAGGATATGGAAGTCAGCGCCAGCGTCCCAAAGGACCTTGACACGATTGGGAAGATCGACATTGTCAGCGAGGTTTGGAAAGCATAAGAATAACATCCCCAAATGGCGACGGACCCTCACCGAGAGAATATGACGCGACTAGGTCGTTCAAACCGCTCCCATATGCAATCACCGCTTCTAGATGTTTCGATGCATTTAACCCAAATGATCTGGATAGAGCAGCAGCGACATTCGCCGCTCTATCATCTTTTTGCTTGAGATCAATCATAAACACGTCCTGACTGAGAAGCCATCGATAGACCGTAGGTGTTCCATCGAAAGAGTGCATCACAGTGGTGCCGCCGGCTTTTTCCATGGGATCATACTGCCCTTCATTGATCATGATCCTTAGAATATCAAGTTGAGTCGTAGAGTAAAATGCCGTCCGATCCTGACTGCAGTATCCTATCAAAGAGAGTATGGGATGCCTTCAGTACAGTAAGTTACACCAAAGTCAACATGTGCTTTTATAATGAGGCCTACTCTGAAATACCAGACGCACTACTGCGCCCTAGACCACATTCGATTAGGAATTTACACAGTTGCGTATGGCAATTAGCGATGGCGAACTGGAAACGCGATAGCTCGTCAGTGACGATTTCTATGATGGCAAGGTTGCAAAACTAACGTGTAAAAGACTCCAGTCTCCGCGAAAACCTCTATCCACGCGATCAAACGGTGATGCCATCCTCTTGTCAAACATTCTTTGAACATTTGCAAGATCTCCTTCAACACAGAAGTCCACGATGAGTGAGTCCTGCGGGACATACCGGAACGTGCGGAGATTTTCCTTCCAGTTGCCGTAGATGCCGAAGGGGTACCATGAGAGGCCGCGAGATGATAGCCACTGTGCTAGGCGAAGATCATAGCGAATCGTCCTTGAGAATATCCTTCGCTCCTTGCCAGACTCTTCGAAAAAGATAGATTCTTGGTCCGTGGCCACGAGTCGTAGCATGGCAAGTCCAAAGTTGTAAGCTCTCTCTTGGTTCTTCGTGCGATGCTTCGGCCGACGAGGAGCTGGGGGCGATGCCGTTGGACTGAAAGACACCAGTTCAACCAACGATTCTGGTGTTGGTTGTAGCGGCCGAGTCTCAATTACTAAATCCTCGTCTGCGGAAGCTGTAGTTGTTGTGTTAAAAGAATGCTCAATGTCGGTGGTTTGCAGTGGGTGATCTTCAGGCCGTAAGCTCAGTGACAGGGACTTGAAGCCTGCCTCTTGCATGTCTCTGTCAAGAATTAGTCTTGCTGTTTTAAGTCACGTTCATTTGGGAGCTTTACTTACCCTAGGTAGCAATTCTGTACCATGATGAGAAGCGCCTTCATCCGTTCGATTTGTGCCATAATCTTTCCCGTCTTGTCCTTTCGAAAGACGAACTTCACTGATGCCCATCGCCTGGTCAAGGATCCCTTGGAGTAACCGCTCTCCACATGCTTGACCACCCCATTCATATCGTGGGCCGTTGCCAGACATACTTTCAGCGTTTCGGTTGCGGCAGCTTCGGTAGGACTTTTATGATTGAGACCCTGCCGCTGATAATTGTTTGCGATTATGGCAAGCCAGGCCAGGAAAAGATTTATCTCTGTAGAGACGTGTGCAACGTCATCCGGAGCTTCTTTCACAGATTGCCAGAACTCGTGGACTTTTTTGAGTTCTTCGCAGACTTGGATTGCAAGTGATGCTACCGTGATGACACTGGCAGGGCCGGCTAGTGCCTCCATGGTTGACTGAAATCACTTGTGCAGTTGCAAGGACCTGATCTGACGTTAAAAAGTATGACGAGGCGGAGCAAGGGCTGAGGATTGAGGCTGTGTGGGTCCCATGCATGGCGTGCATTAGCACGTCTTCGTCAAGTAACCAACAAAGGAGGGAATCTGGCGACAACCGAAGTCCTCCTTATGGCAGACCGGTCTGTAAGAAATCCATCGTCGACTTTATTATCCAATAGAGATGCTGGAATAATATTTAGTACGTCGTTTCCTAGGTGTCACGCTTATGAGGCAGCGACGAGGGTGATAGGTTGACGAACCGGAAACCACGCTAGTTCTTATAGGGCTAATCAAAGGCTACAGCAAAGTGCCATTAGCAATTCGTACTTATACCAAAATATTAGAAACATCGTAATATCATTATACCAGAGTGCCAATAGGAATCGAACCAATTACGAATTAGATACCCCTCACCTGTGTAGCTACGCCCTACAGTTGAGTGGGGTTATCTAGCTAACACGAGACTACTGGGTCTAGCCACGAGTAGATATCGAGGCCACTCACCAGCCTTACATAGACCAGTCATCCTTCTACCTATTGACTGCACCTCATTGGTTCCTATTATTTCTCCTATACGCAATAAATACACCTATATCAAGTCCACCGTTTGGCCTATCGTTGTGCCTCTGTGCTTCGTGCTATAACGTGCAGCCCAGTCGCACCAAATGCACGATTCTTTGCCATTGCCGCTTCAGTACTATCCCCACCTCGAAATGGGCCATCCATTGGGACCAGTCGTCTTCCACCCCGCAGGCTCACAGTCTTCGGCACCGCCTCGCACCCTGGCATGCTGTTGCCAACCCCTCTGAATAAAGCATAGTCGTAGGCTCCTCCGATTTTGCTTTCGAATCGTGCGAGCCGCATGGGAAATTTGGTTCTAGTTAGAGCTTGATCGTCTCCTAGAACCTGTCAGCAAGCTTGATAGGTCCGCCTGAAGGTGTCAAAGAGGTCAAGGATAGAGTCGTGCAACCGAGGGTGATGGTCTGGACGTACAAGTTATGACTGGCGTTCACGGTGAGTCGATTGATTGTCCAAGCAAAGTTCATAAGTCTTTGTGGTCTGGACTTTCATGTCGTCTCATTATTGTTGCTTCGGCCGAGATCTTTCAGCATCCCGTTCTTCCCGCTCCTCGCGCTCCATATCTCTCCGATGAGATTTCCCTTGAGCGAGATCTTCTAACTTGCGACTTTTACCGTGGATATCGCTGGTCTCCGGGGTCAAGTACTGAGATAGAGTGGCACCGACGAGCATTACGAGCACGAATCTGGTATAACGTTAAGAAGGGTGGGAGACCGGAGTTGATAATCTTACAATATTAGGGTTATTCCTAGCCGTTTATTACTTTGAACTTTGATCACAACAATCTGGCCGAGCACGGAGCCAAGCTTGCCGCTGGAGGCGGAGATGCCGTAGAGGGTGCAGCGGTAGCGGGTTGGGAATGCTTCGGCTGGGATCTAGGCACGTTGTCAATAAGATTCAACAGGTTTTCCAATCTTGCTGGCGCTTACGATGAAAGTGGTGGTGTTCGGACCTGGGGTTTAGTGTTAGCAAGTCCCTGCATTTCATTAAGCTGATGAGCGGATAAGACTTACCGAGATTGTAGAACAGCTGACATATACCATAAAACACCACAATTGCCACATGCGCGTTCGTACTCGGCAGCGTGACGTACAACGCCCCAACCAAGATGAACAATCCCCCCAATATCAAGAAGCCCCACATCTGGATCCTCTTCCGACTAAAGAGATGCATCGCAAAAATGGCCATAGCGCTACCAACCAAAGCTCCAATGGAAGTCGATTCTATGATATGTCTCTCGTTGTTGACCAGCCAGTTGTATGGCTGTAATTGGTCTCCAGGTTTCTGCCCAAACATTCTCGGAATAAAACTTGAGCTGTTGACGCCGAGAAGGTAAAACGTGAAATCTAGAAGCATCCAATTTACGGCTGTGGCGAATAGGTCGGTCCAGTTGCCGTCTGTGAAAAGGTACTTGTATAAGTCGGCGCGTGATGCCTGAGATGGGTGGGGGTCTTCGAGCTCTTCGACTGTTGGCCCAATGGAATTAGCGGCTGAATCGTCGGATAGCCCTTGTCCATGCAACCTAGATTGAAGGGCGGGTTGAGGCAGTTGGAGCTCAGTAGCGATATGATGTCCGTTCGTGGCAGCTTTAGGGCTATGTTCAAATTCATCCATGCGTACTGAGTCTCGATCATCATGCCCAAGATCTTCACGGGACCCGAAATAATCCTTCGCGTGCATAGCTTCATTACTGTCGTTCTTGATATCGAGTATATAATACACGGACTCCGGAATCGTAAGTCGGAATACCATGGCGACGGCTGCTGGCACAGCGCCGAGGCCTGCAACTAGTCTCCATGCTCTATCAACCGTCCGTGCGCATTCTATACCGGCGGCATCTTTCGTGAAGACGGAGCAAGCCATATCGGGGGGTGCTGAAGTGGGAATCGAGGAGATGTAAGAACTAAAGCCAGCGGTTGCGGCAAAGGCCATTAGGACGGCGATTAATTGGCCCAGGGGCTGGAAGAAGAAAACGGCGGCCAGCATGCGGGCTCGGTATTTTGTGGGGGCGAACCTGGAAATGATCAGCGATACTTAGATGTGACGTTTTGGAAGGACATACTCTGCAGTGATGACAGCACTGAGAGGGTAATCGGCCCTGGAAAGATTCGAATCAGTTCTTGTCTTTCAGCTACAGCCTGGAATCAACCCTTTCTTACCCAATCCCAATCCCCATGATCAGCCTCCAAAAGATGAGCAAGGCAATGAGTGACATGGATCCGTTTACTCCCGTTGAGGCAGTCGCAAATCCCAAGGAAGCCGCAATGGTGACAATGAGCTCCAACCCATACATCTTCCTTCGGCCGTAGCGATCCGCCAAGAATCCAAAGACGATCTGTCCGATCATGGAACCTAGGAGGGTGGCAGTGTTCATGCCGAGTTGATAGCTGGTGGGGATGCTGCCTTCCCAGTAGATGATGGAGAGCATTGATATGATGGTGTTGATGGAGAAGATCTAGCGCACCAAGGCACTGTTAGACAGGGTCTCGAAGAAGGCTACGATGACATACGTCGTAGGCATCAGTCAAGAAGCCAATGCCTGCGACAAACACAATCCACCATCCGAAGCCTGCTGCCTCGACTGATGAGAGGACCAAATTTCGCCTTTCCTGCCATGTCTACAGTACCCGTCAGCTTCATCTCATATCGGAAATGTTCGTCCGTCATACTAGATTGTAATTGAAGCCTCGTGAATGATCAACCCAGAACCGTGGCCATGAGATGGCCATGATTTGAATGTTGCTATATTTAGGATAGGTTTTAGCGCGTGGGGAGAAATGTCTTGAGATCTTCAGATTCAGCAAGCGTGGGTGATCTTTTATTTACTCGTATTGACATATAAGAAAGCATGGCAAGACCTAAGCGCAGGAATCATGGAAGCAGGAAGATATACAGTACCTATATTTTAAAAACGATTCCTCCGCAGCCTTGCAGATTCGCAGAGGGGCTGAGCTCGAGCCACGCCCCTTTTTATCGGTTTCGATGTGGAGAAAGCTCCTACAAATTGGACCCGTATATTGTAGGGCTATCAATCGTGGAACACGTGTTGGCCGCGCAAAAGACTATTCGCTCCGGAGCCTGCCGCTCGAACTCTCCGAGTCTCCGCGACCAGCACATCTTTCTCTTGGCGATCCCACTCAGCCTCATCCTCGATGCCTCACACTCGACAGCGCAGTCTCGATCTCAGTCTTCTTCAATCTGACATCGCATAGCCATGACTTCAACGGACCTCACATGCTCACATGGAGGGAGGCTCAGGCTCTCAGACTGACGTTGGTTCTGATCCGTCATGCTACTGCCTCGTTCGTTGTTGATGCCTTCACCTCACGTCTGCCCGTCCCTCCATTCTGAGTCCATCAGCAAAAATGGTCCTCCCGGGCTGGAACATCTCCGAGCCCATCGACCTTGCATACAAATTATATGAAGTCGTCGAATCTCTTCGAAGCGCACCCGAAAGCGCCAAAGCTTTCGTCTCCAAGATCAATAACTTCAGTGGCAACCTGAAGGAATTGCAAAGAATACTTGAAGACGACACCACGTCCCGTTCTTCTCAAGACCTCGAGCATTTGCGCGCCACTATTGTGGAATGCCAAGCCTGCGTTAAGCGTTGTGAGGAGTACAGTGAAGGGTTTGGAAAGCTCACCAAGGATGGAAGGGGAAAAATGGACGGTGCGGGCCAAGCGGCACGCTGGGCTTTGCAAGAGAAGAGGGCGGCGAAGTTGAGGGAGGAGATTGATGGGCAGATAGGTAATATTGGGTTGACGCTTGCGATTAAGACTTTGTGCGTTGGCTCGGCATCAATACGTTTGACAAACCAGGGCTGACAAACGGTAGTGGAGACGGTCGGACAAGACAAGGCTCCCATTTAGGGACGGAAGGTCTGAAGCCTCCTCTTCGATCCGGTACCATTGCCAGCTTACCCCCATACTCTTCCCCACGCTCCAATTGGACCCAAACAGAAAGTCTTCAGCACGCAAAGACTCCGGCGGAGCTTCTAGGCCTCGGCACCCAGCACAAGAGGAAGTCTTCAGACACAGACATACCTAACTTCCAATTAGAGTCAGAGGGTAGCGGCGGCAAAGGGATGAATACCTCACTACAAACCAACTTGGCTACACTGCATCCGTTGACAGAGCCGAATGAGCGATCTGAGCTGGATTCAAAAGAGGCACTGAAGCCGTTGGGGAGCCGCCGGAATACAACCAATGAGGTTGCTGTGTCTCCGACTGGGCTCGGCATGTCTAGTACTTTGTCAGAAGGCTCGAGCGTGGCTTCTCGAGACTTTACAAGCCCAACGATCTCTTCCCGAAGAACCTCCATGACAGAAGTCACGACCAGCACCTCGAGACGTGACTCCATCTTGGCCCTGGACTTTGCAGTGATGGAAATAGCAATGGAGAATTTAAGCGGAGTGAAAGTCTCCTACTACAAAGCAAAATCTCGGATATCGTACGCTGTTTCGACAATCGAGTCATTCCGCAACAAACAGACTGGTCGCCGCTACATCATCGTCTCGCCACCCATAAGCTCCAACATCAAATTGTACTTAGGTACGTCTAATCACTGCCTCCTAGCATAGTCAATCAATATGCTGATATTCTTACCCTCTAGTACCTCCGACCGAGCGAATCATAGCTCACAGCGAACATCCACAAGCATACGGCTCTACTACCAGGCACAGAGTCAAGTTCATTGAGCCGTACCTTTTGAGATCTCAGAAGACTTCATCAGAGCGCCAACCCACAAATGCTTCAACAGCTCTGTCTCCTTCTCTCACACCAGTGTCCTCAGCTGCGAGTATCGTCAGCTCAAGGAGTCTGGGTTCTCCTGTCATCGCCATCGATGGAGGAGTGCTTAAGGAAGAGTCCCGGCGCCAGGAGTACGACTTTGAGAACGGAGACGACTACCGAAGATTTCAAGAATTGCTTATGGGTCCCGACGTTAAGCTGCAGCTTCAAGTGCCAGTCCAGTCCATCACGGCAAGCAGATACGGGGAGAGCAGGCCCACTAAAGAGAGCCGATTGCAGTACTTACGCTTGTGGCAGTCCGGTGGGCGCCAGACATTGATGTATTTCGCGAATTCCTCATTGACCAAGTATAGAGAGTACAGTATGGAAAATCTTCGCCCTGTTGAGTCGAAGCCAAAGACCATGATCAAACTGGAAGTCCATTTGCCTGGCAGGGTCCGACGTAGATCAAGTTCCAAAAGTCCTCTCATCATTGCTAAGCCATCGGCGCAAGAGCAGGCTAAGTTCGACGGATACACGGATGAAAACGACATGGTAGATTTAGATTATCTCTCAATAGAGTTCAGCTCAGCCCAAGATAAGGCTACATTTCTGCGCGAAGCAAAGTTTCACGGCCCCGTGGAGCAGCCGACAGTATCACCCTAAGCTTCTAACTCAAGACCTCCCACACAGTGAGCCCAGAAGCCAGAGCCAGATTCTATAGTCAATAGGAGCGCCGATGCCTTGGAAGGGCTGAGCATGTATCATCGTGGAAACTTGCAAACTTTTCAAGGGCGAGTATGAGCGCTCCTACAGAGCTGTCTCGGAGCGTTTTGAGTCGATGATGAAGCACCCGAAGAGGTACCGAGAGCAGCGACCAGGCATGCAAATCGCCAAGATGGGGGGAGAAAGAGTTGGTTCAGACAGAGAGACAAAAAAGTTCGAAGCATCGACTGAGCATCGGTTTCTCAATTGAGCAGTCTATCCTGAAAGCAGGAGCAAGACTGAGCTCGAGACTGCGTCAAACTTGCCGCGCGAATCTCCTCGTTATCCCTGGGGGCAACCAATATCTTGTCATATATGCTGGCCCTCCTTGCACGATGGAAGTCCCAGCTCAACTACTGACACGCAATAAAGCCTTCTCGTTGAAGTGGACATCATAATCAGCCATGGCGTCTCGCTGGTTCGAACTCGTAAAAGAAGAAAGGCAGCGAAGCCCGCAGGTCAGAGCTACGATGACTTCCTGAGCGTGGAGCGCAAAAGCGTTGGGAAGAGAGAGCCGGAGACAGTGTGCAACGAGGTCCAGGGCTCATTCTTCCAACTTCAGCTGTTAGTGAATGTGGCTCACAGCAATCTCCATTTACTCTTAATGAAGACGGTAGGGGAAGTTGAAAAGGCGATGGCGTACCGGAAACAGCAATCTTCCAAAGGGTATTTTGATGCACGCACACCGGCTGGGACATCTGCGCGACCGTCGATCATGGCGCCACGGCTCGGAGTGAAGTGAGGTTGCGACCCTTGCGTGACGGGGTGGAGACTCCCGCAGGCTCGCGTAGATGAAGGCGTGGAGTCAATGTAAGGAATCGACGGCCTGGGGGGCCGGGAGACTGAGGAGTTTGCTGCCTTAGGCGTCGTCGACTGCTGTCCTATTCGAAGGGGGAGAATCGAGGCGCTGAGGAAGTGTACAGACCTCGTTATGGAGTGTGGTTTGGATTTGGAGCTAGGGGGGTTGGGGAAGATGCCAGGAGATGTACGTGGGGGTTATGCCTATGTCCTGTTGGCTAGCTGACACCTGGTCACAAAGCTCCGAAACAATGCTGGATATTTCCTTCTGCGCTGTCGCCCCGTCAGAACCAACACCAATTTTGGTGAGCTCGCTCGATAAGATACAATACCCTACGGGGTCCGTCTCCCGCGCTTCAGGCTTGACTGTGTTGGGCGATGGACCGGTCGTTCTTGGTAGCCCGTGTGAGAACCTTTCAGCATCCCAACACCTAGCCAAAGTCATAGCCTCGAGCTCCCGAGTAGCGTTCTTGTGACTGGGACGCTGATAGAATTTGGTGTGGCAAGGCCGAAGAATTTGTCGCGAGCGGCCATGTTGCGGATGAAGTCTGTGCCGCATGCCATCGGGAGGCTGTATACTTCCAAAGGCTTTGTGCCGTAGGCAGCCGAAGCGAGGACTAAGAGCAGTCGCTCATAAAGCAGTACACTGGACGAAATCTGAAAATCCAAAGACCGATACAAGAAAGGTTCGGAGTACACCAGCGACATCGTGCGCTTTCAGTCAGCGTGTGGTTTGTGTTGCACCATGGAGACCATGTTCGGCATGCCATACTTCGTCAAGAAATCGATGTACCAAGGATCCGTTTCATAGCCATCCAGATAGATTTGCCGGAGGCCATCGAGGGAAGCGACGCTGAGCTCATTGAGGCCTTTAGACGGACGGTTAATCCATGCATTTGATGGGCTGAGAGGATAGAGCGTGGTTCTCGCTCCATGCAGGGTGCCCGGGCTATCCATGCCGTGCTGGATGCGGAGGTGGAGTCGGCATTGGGTGTTTTCAAGAGAGGGAGAGAGGAAGGCTGGGAGGATTATAAGTTTGGAGATCGAGAATAGCAGTAATGATACAGCTGCGGTGGAGAGAAAATGAGACATTTTTGCAGTGGTGAGGTCTCCATCCCCACTCCCCTTATACACCTACTAAAGGGCTAGGGGTATGGCTTCATAGAGACTCCTGAGCCTTAAACTCAATCTAGAACCCGGAAGTCTCCTGGTGGTAAGGTAGTCTTTAGGTACGAAGTCTACCACGTCAGTGTACACATGTTCCGGTACTATTGCTTCAAAACATGTGCTGGATACTTGCCGGTAGAATGTTAAGCCCACTTCCTTCTGGATCAGATCGGAGCCTCTCGTACATCCTCCTATACTGCATCCTACAGGGCTCGTTGTGCCGGACACGGCGTGCGGTTCAATGCGGTCGCGTTTCCCGACCCGGCGGCTTTCGGGGCGATGAGGTGATGGTGCTGGGCGTTTGGAAGGGGGAGGGATGTGTGGCGGAGAGAATTTTGCTGTTAAATGTATGTTGTTCGCTAAAATCCTGTTTCATGTACTTCTTCGGGCCATCGTTGGTCTTGGGGTCGTTTCGGTAACGGTTTGACCTCGTGGTGCATGTTTCGAGGATAGGATAGATAGGATTTTGTTGCTGCTGCAATTGATGGTCCGAGATGACTATTTGAGTGAGTGGAGATTAAATTGCTCGTTGCAGTTACCTACACTCACGTTATCACTTCTATCGTTGACGACGCAGGTATCGAGCACTTGGATTTGTTGTTGCTGTGCCAAAGGTGTGGAAAGCTGGTCTTGAGATTCAGGTTCGTCCGGACATAAAAGGTGACAAGAGTAACGATGGGTGAGTACTATGGTTATCAATGGGTCAGGGAATGGAAGCGAAGGCTGTTTTATTGGCATGACAGTAGTCGTGTGCCCTTTCCTCCAGTACCCAAGTTTTCACCCGGCGTATAATATTCTGTTTCATGGTACTCGTAGTTTTGATGACAGCCTTATCAAAGGGGCTTTGCTGGGCGTGGTTTTCAAGGTCTTGTCACGCGGGTTAGGATAGACGAAGGGATTTTTGGTTACCCTAGATCATGCAATAGAAGTCATGCTTCTTTGAATGTTCTTCTCGCTATTGCCGCGCCCTCGTTTCCCTGTATGCAATACATCGAAAGCCAATTCACTGCTAAAGATGCCGGTAGTGTTGAGTTGGGCGACCAACTGTAGGGCCATAAGGGAGACAAGATGCCATTATTATCAGACGGGAAGATTGAATAAGGCACAGGAAGAAAACTTTGGTGCTAGATGAGGGGTCATTCTCAAGCCTCACTCCAGCCTCCGCCACGCTCTCTTAGACCTTCGCGAGGGACACCCCTCTCCGCAGCCGACCACTTTTCTTCCTGGGCGTCAGCGCTGTTTTTCGTTCCAGGACTCTCCGTCTCAGCATCTTCGTCCTCCTCGCCTGTGGGCATCTGCGGCTTCCCGCCCATACTGGCTAGTACTACTTCGTTGTCGGCAGTTGGTGCGTCCATGATGCGGAGCTCTTTGGCAGTGAACATCTTGGGCATGATTTTCCAACGGAGGGGGATGAGGGCGATGATGAGGACGGGGAATCCTAGCGGACGAGTTAGTGTTCGATGGGTCAGAGTTTTTAAGTTGGTCGGGAGAGGTACCTATCCCTGCGATAGTCTGAGAGACGCCTACAGTGGCCGTGATGCCGAAGATTTGCCAGAATAGATAGAATAGGATCCTTTTCTTGGGTATCTGCAACAGAGGTTCATCGGGCTGGACGAAGCGTGGCTCGCCGATGAGGTAGATTATTTTGGCCATGATACCGTTCCCTTCAAGGCCACCCCAGCCAACGACGAAGAAAACCCCAGCAAAGAGTGCTCGTGGTATCAGATTTAAGACGATCAAGATCGGTCCTGTCATTGTCCCAATGATGGCGAGACCCATGAGGAAATGCGACACGCGCTGCTCGACCACGCTTTCGGCAATGATTTCTTGCTGGTGGATCTCCCCGCCGTCTTCCGTCTTGATGACTTTGAGTACGCTCTTGTAATTCGTCATGCAGTCGGTGTGCACGGGAGCCTGCGGTACAAGCCCGTTTGGTAAAGGAATGTCGATTATGCCAGCAATGAAGCTTGTACATCCGAGTAGGAAGAAGTCCCAATGGAAGCCACCTGGTTTCCTGAGTGGGAATTGCTTCGCTTGCGCTGCGACACTACTTTGGTTCTGTCGATTCTAGTCAGCGACCATGTTTGCACCCAATGCGATCGGATTACTGCGTACATGATCGTAATAGAAAAGAAGCATGAGCAGGAATCCAATTGGTAGAGCAGCAAAGATCCACTTGACCTCCAGGTTCCAAAAATCGATAAGCCAGCCTCGATCGACGGTCGGATAGAAGGCTCGAGTATGTGGCAACTTGCTGACGTTGGTGGCTCTCAGCTGACCGGGAAAGTGAGCGAATCCTGTCCAGAAAATCGTGGCGATCTGTCAGGTATGGGTAAGCTAGCCAAAATCATGCATACTTTGAAGTGGGCTCACGGGATAGGCGTAGTCCCCTAGAAAACCACGAACCCACGGCCGGAACCATGTGCCGTTGCCGACCATCTCAAGGGCGTAGACGGTGAAGAAGAACATTAATGCGATGGTTACGCTCATGAAGCCGTCCGTGGGGCCATCACTCTCGAACTCGGCGATGAGTAGTTCCACGCCCTTGACTACAGTTTTGATCAGCCTCACGCGAGGGAGCTGACACATTTCAAGACACACTGCAATAAATAATCCCAACATACGCCCCGAATGACTGGCTTGAGAAATCGGTCACATAGCGCATGTAATCGCAGAAATTCCAGATCGCAAAAAGCCAATGGAAGATTGCCGCCCAGATGGCGACCCAGGTCATGAACTGTGGGTACAAAGCCACGTCGTACCGTTTTATTATATCGAAGATGGTATAATTGAATAAGGATATCAATCCAGTGATGCCGACGATGGTCAGGGGCTGAGCGCCTATGGTGCTGAAGACGATGCATGCTAATGCAGAGGAGAAGAGCGCTTCATTAACGCCGTAGAAGCCGCCGGTGCGACGGTTCATGTCTAGGATGAATGCTAATGCTGGCAAAATGCTGTGTATCAAACCAACATTAGGCTCGATCTTGCCTTGTCCGGAGGAGGGTGGACCACAAACTTTACAAAATATATTCGAACTGTACCAGCGAAGGTCCTATAGTTCATCGCGTCGGTGATATCACTCCGGTAATATGGTAACCGCCGCTTGACATCGTGATACATACCCCAACCTGGCCGCAGCATTCGATATTGCCGCCACCCAATCGAGTTGTCGAAGGAGTAGGGGTCTGGTGTTTCAGTGGCCATCGTGGCGACATTGCAGTGATATCAACGAAAGTTTTGTAAAGCAGGCCGCCGATGCAGAATATATAGGGAAGAATGTAGATAGGCAGGTAAAGATTAATTTTCCCATTTTTTGAGAGAGCGAATCTCGATGAGGTAGATCGAGGTCTTGGCATGACGTGATCCGGGTCTCCCTCTAGCGGCTTGGCATCCTGATCTGCCGTTTACCCGCGGCTTGGCGCGGGCTCGAATCTCAACAAGCAACGGATATAATTGTACTCTCTCACGAGGTCGCTCGGGGTTGAGACTGGCCTATCAGGGAAGCAGTGCTCCCATCATGAAGCTAGGATCATAGTTCTTACAACTTTGCTGCCTCCTAAATATCTAGCTTACCATCTGTATGGGGTAGATAGGCTTGCCAATTTCGTAGCAAAGATGGGGTGAATTTCGAAACCTGTCGGGTGAAGGAGATGTTAGGGACCACGGGAAAGTTCAGCACTGGACCGATTGATTCCCAGCATTTCATGATAGGAGAGGTGATAGAAATCTCGAGGTCTAGGCGAGCTTAGCGTTAGTATCAAAGGGGCCAGCTGGATTATTGTCGTACCAACGGCCTACTGCCATCGTTTCTTCCAATCACAACATACGTGCTACACTTGCATCAAGAGACTGCTACTGCCGATAGGGGAGAGCTCCTTCAATTTCGCATCGTGCTCTGATTATCTTGGCTGCGAATCAACGTCTTCAGAGAGACCCTAAACCATTCCCATTACTACGACTGCCTCTCGAACTTCGCCAGCAGATCTATGGAGAGGTGCTGAAAGGTACAAACCGCACGGTCGGCGTCAAGTCTTTCGATATCTTGGCCTTCAAGGAGGATTATCCGAACCGTGACATTGAAACTTTCTGTGGAGATCGAGCCTCACCACACTGGAAGAATCCGGTGTCAACATTCGAAAATGAAATGCCCAATATCTACGGTAACGACATAACTACCGGCTCACTCCTCGTGAGTAAATTGATATACGCCGAGATTATTCCAATACTCTACCAGTCGCAGTTATTTTGATTTCGGCATCAACGTCTTCGGCATTGTTCCCCTCTTGCGCAAGATGTCACCCTTAGCTCGAAAGAATGTCCTCGACATCCACATGGAAATCTTTTTCCTTCCATCAGTCATGGTCAGCAGGACTACCATCGACCATCACTGGCACGTAAGGGATAACGCGCAGGATTAGGGAGAACTTGTGCGTACATCGCGAGCCATCTCCAGCCGAAGAATCTCAGCATCAACGTCAGTATGAACTCGTGTAAGCCCGCCGATCCTCCTGTGGACCTTTCGGCGGCTACATTGGGTCAAAGATTTGGTGCCAATCGAGGGATCACGAAGTTTGTCGCGTCATGTCAGTCCTAATGGACACGGTCTAGAGGCTATGTGGCGTCCCGGGGTTCTGGGATTTCGTGAAGCATCCGAAAGACATAAGCCGGGACCGGATGTTGTTGTCGATGGAGACGTGAAGGGGGCTAAACGTGGTTTGGGAAGGCTGTTCGGGTATTTGAGAGGAGAGATGCTCGAGAAGTCCACCAAATCTGGTCCAGGTTTGGAAATCGGACCCGTTTTCGCCGGTGGGTCGGGGGGCGGAGCTGAGGTGGTGGTAGATGAAGGCGGAGGACGAGGAGAAGAAGAAGGCGAAGAGCTCCACGCACTTGCAGACCGCGTCACGCTGCTGGCAGGCGAATTTGCCGTTGCTGCTATTGTCGCGCTGATCGTCGCACTGAGCGGTTCAGCCTCACACGCATCGTCCGTCCGCCTGTCCCACCTCGTCACCGCTCGACGCTTCCGCCCCGTCCGGCAGTAATCGCCCGCGTTGCCGATTTAGATGGCGTCGGGGCCGCCGTTCCGAGCATGCGTGAGGCCCACTATCGTCTCTTTTACCTGCGCGGCCGTGGTCATCTCGTACGCGGTGATGAGATGAGGAGATCTGCGAAGGAATATATGTTATTAAGTTTGCTGCGACAGAGTTCATTTAGGCGAAAGGCCGCAAGATTGTGCATGGGCTTAATAGCGGGTCAGCATTGAATTGGGGAAAGGACGACCCGTTCAGTATTGCACAAATGACAGTGTCATTGGGCCTAGAACCCAGAGGAAAACTGTACATTTTCGGCGGCTGTGCCTTTACTTCATCAATGAGATCCCCTAACAGAGTTGAACTGATGGTGGGCTCAAGACGTTTGATGTAGTTCGTGGTAGTTACAGTGGCTGAGGCTGTACTTGACTGAGATGCAGTTGATCTAGACACCGTAGTCCAAGTATTCGCAATGGAAGTGATGTTAGTTGGATTGAAGACTGTTGAAGGTGTTGACAGAGTAGCACTTTTGGTTTTATATTGCCTGATACGCTGGTCGGAGCTAGAGGACACACTGGCAGGTGCAAGACCAAATGCTATAATAGCAAATGATAATACAGAAGGACGAAGAACCATGATGGCTAGAGGAAAGAAGAGCATGCAGAGAGCATCAGACGAGGAAACACATGGACGAATGAACCGTACACACGACTTACATCTATAACTCCCACAGGAAAAAGTTTGGCAGAAATGAAAGGTCGAGACAGAGCTACGGTTAGAATTTCCATGGTGAAGCTGAGTGCCTCAATAGCCGCTTGCATCTGTTGATATTAAATGAAAACATCATTGTGGAGTAGGAAATACCCTGGGCCTCAGATCAGGTGCAAGGATTTCCACCGCCAAAACATTGATTGTTTCATCTTCGATCGAGCAAGGTACCTCAGCTATCATTTTGCATGGGACGTAAAATAGAGTACAAGGCATTCAGACCGGGCGGACTATGGTCGACATGAATGTATGTAGACCGCTGGCTCTAGAAGAATGTTGCGGTCGGAAAACATGGAAACACGCCAAGACTACCGCTACGGCATTTGAAGTCTCCATCCATCTAATAAACACCATAGTGGCCCCTCCACGTTGTATCAGATTTATATATTCATCTCCGTTTCGGAAACATTTCCGTCGTTTTATTAGGCTATCAGGCTGAGACAGCCTGCCAACTCCCTAGACGCCATGTGAAGAAAGACCTAGCGGCTTTGGCGTAAACTCTTGTCCGTTCTGATGCTGTAATCGGTAGACTTTCTCTCGCATCTGCTCTCTGCTCGGCCTTGTTGTCCGCCTCGACAACGCTATCGACGACAGCAAAAGTCACATTAAAAGCATTATCCTACTCAGCCACTTCTGATTCAAAATTCATCAGCGTCCCATGGTCGACTGCACCCATTACTCGATTCCACCCTCTACTTTATTCTCTTAACGACGTTTTGATTAACGCCACAAAAAGGGAACATCTCCTTCAAACGTCATGACGCTCAACAGGCCAGTGGTGTTTCACTAGGCTCGCTGGATTGATACGTCGGCTCCACTCGTCACCCCATGGACCTCAACAAGCAGCCCTGGACCACTTGTATTGCTCAGTAGTCTTGCCTCTCGTAGTTGCCAGCGCTCTAGTCTCCACTACATTGTAACTCTAAGAAATCCTGGGGAAGAGGATAAAAGCCTGGATTAGCCTGCCTAGGCATTCAACCAAATCGTATTGGAGGGCCACTGCACGGCATCCGTCATTTCATCTCCTCTGCGTCTCTTCACCTCAGGCTCTCCGCCATCCTGCTCTCATCGTCCAAAGATTCCTTGTTTCTTCGCTGATTGCGTGGCCGCTGTACTTGATGCATGAGTGGAGGCGTGTTAATAATATCTGGATTGAAATGAGAATGGAGGGAATGACACTGCCTCGGAGAAGTGTTAAACAAGGGCGTTGCGTGGAGTTAAATGGTGAAAAGGACCTGTTCTATAAGACCCTCTATCCGTGCAAGTTGCGATGAATGTTTTACAGTATATCGAGGATTCATTGGCAGGTAAATGATCATACCATTTTTGATTTTATTAATGTTTTCCTCTAAAATACAAGCATGACTTTCTCGAGATTGCGCGAAGTTGCGCGAAATTTAAAGCTTATTGCTTCCTCGAAGCAAGAATCCATTCTGGTTCCTTACGCTCGACCCTTCTCTTTTCGACTTATCTGTTTCCTGCGTAACTGAATCTGCCGAGCGTTCAGCTTTCTCGCCCTGGATTTTCGAGCAACATCCTGTTCTAGCTTTAACTCCTGCTTCAACAGCACAAGCTGCGCAAATACCGTGCCGTCTCCCGGATCGAAGCCAAGAGCTTTCTCCATGTGCTCTACCGCCTGCACTCTATCGCCCAGACGCTTGAGCGCAATGGCCTTGCAATAGTGGACCTTGAGGTAATCGAGCCTTTGGTCCTCCATCCAATTGTGCGTGTTATCGCAGTACTTGTGGCTGCGGTACAAGCAGCGGCAGTGTATGACGTCACGGTCCTCCTGACTGCATTCCAAAACAGAATCTGTCCACTCGTGAACCTCCTTGTACTGCTGGGACATCAGGTAAGCGGCTGCGACACTTGCCTGAAGCTTAAATACAAGGGCATTGATGGCGTCCCTAATGTAGTAGTCTCCGAATGTCTTTGACCCGATCGTGAAGGATAATTCCAAGTTCTGATTCAGTACGGCAAGCTTGTCGAGAGCTTCTCGGTATTTCGAAGTCGCCAAATGGGAAATGCCGTTTCGGAGGAGTCGATCGCCCTTGCTCTTCCAGTTGCAGACTACTTGGATCTTTCCTGTGAATGAGAGTGTCAGTCTATTCTGTCTAAGAACCGAGGGCTATCTCTCCATGGTTTTTCATACCTTCCGCCTTCTCAATCTGCTGCCGTTCTTGTAATATCCTTGCCTCCTCTTGATTGGCTCGCCTGGTGACAAGCCTATCCGCGCGTTCTTGCCACGCTTCATACATACATTTCTGTTCTTTGTTGAGGGGCACAAGACTGTCTGCTTCTCGAAGGTCTCCCACAGCCTCCCACACATCCCCATGCGTGTAGCTGATATGTGCAGCCACGTGAAGGACTTCGGCGTAAACGACGTCTTGCCAGGACGCGATCTTTAGGTGGTACTGTTTATTGTGTCGATGATCATAAGGGCGACGGGGATCCATAGCGCGCTCTGTGTATATCCGAGCCATTCTCAACATACCACTCTTCAGATACACCAAAGCAATGCGACCTAGTAGTCTGACTTTGAGG